TAACAAATCTATTTCGTTGTTGGACAAATTTCGCTGTGAGACATTAACGACCCATTTGTTCATGATGCTATGTTCACTGTCTGATGTTGAACGCCAGCGTGACTTTTTCTCGTGTCTTTCTATAATAGTGCTTCTCAAGAGACCACACCGACTAGAGATTGCTTGGTCCAACTTCGATAAGCTGTCTTGATCGACCATTGTTGACAAGGTCTTGGTCAATTCTGTAGATTCGTTCCTTAGACTAATAAGTTTATGATGACAATTGCTTATCAAAACACGAAGGTATGACCACCCGGTCTTTCTTGCGATTGCCCACGCTTTTGGATGGTTTATCGGTGGTTTAGCCAAAAGAAACGGTGGTAGATGATTTTGTTCTTGGCAAATGTGTAAATATCGTAGGTGTTGTTGGTTTCGTACTTGTGACAAAGATATTTGTTCTAATCTTAGAGAAAAGAGTACATAATTTAGAAAAACGAACGTTCCTCGAGTCGATGCATTCAATATTATAGACAATAAAACAATTAACGAACACAAAGAATTCCCAAGCATGTATTTATCGCTTGTGCAATCATGTGGCAATAATGACGATATTTAAAAACCCTGAACTATCCGAACTGCTCTTAGTACTCTGATGAAGGTTGCAGTTAGCAACCGAAAATTTAGAACTTTTTTAGACTTTTTATTGTACATATTCTAGTATTTTAAAAAGAATTTTAGACCAGCTTCAACTCCAAAACTATCATGTATTCCACTGGTCGCCTCAACAGCATATATATATATATATATATATATATATATATATATATATATATATATATATATATATATATATATATATATATATATATATATATATATATATATACATATATACAGTTTTTCGTTTTACCTCAAAAAACCACAACAGTCTGTTCCATCCGTATAGGAATCATCAGGTGGTGAGTAATTTCGAAAATATAGGTTATAGGTTGCTTTTAAATATAGGTTGCTGTCTGGGTGAATGACCAGTGTCGTGGAAGTTGTCCAATTTTTTACGGCGGTCAGTACGAAACGACAGCGGGTTTTGAAAAGTGCAGTTGCAGCAGCGGCATTCAGAGCAGTAACTACACTGGATTTTGGTGTGATTGGGATGATGGTGATGGTGCAGTGATGATAATTGGTGGAGGAGGAAGTGGTTGTGCCAGACCAGATCATGGTATTGGAATAACAGAGGCGAATGCAGCAAAATTTGGTGGAAGCCTACCTTATTGTACCCCACCGGAATTAGCACCCGAAAAGTAGATACCGATGTCAAGCGAATTCGCGTCACACCGGAACTTGTTATAGTCTGACGTAACGGGAAAATGCCCGGATATTGAACACATGTTGTCTTAATTTAGTTTTCAGAGTTATCGAAAAAGCGTTGTAAAATACGAGGAAAACGTACGAAATAAATATAAGTAATACACCGAACTCGTGTGGAAACTCAAGTAACAAATTGGGGGCTCAGGCGCGAATCTCTATGTGGAAAGACGAAGTGTTTAAAGTATTGTTTGATGATATTTTAACGTGCGAGTAGCGACGAATTTATAAACTGAATACGAGCTATGGCCGCCGACGATAAACAAATTATTTTGGACACCAAAGTACTGTCTCTGGGGAAGAACGAATTGATTGAATTTGCATTGTCCCTGAAGATTGATAAGTCAAAGGTAGAAGGAAAGAGTAAGGTACAAATAATTAAAGAGATTCGTAATGCACTTGAAGTGAACCTAAGTACTTTTACCGAGGAAGACGATAAAGTTAATATTTAGATGGGTTAATTTTTGCCTTAAATCCCGAGACAAGCGAAACTGGGGCCAAAATATCGGAAGGACAAACTGAGATACAAAATCTCGAGAAGGAATGGTCGGAACTCGAAATAAAACGAAAGGCGATTGAAGATAAACTGTCGCATACAAAGAAATCTAAAATTCCTGAAATGAAAGTGGAAGTACCACTAAGATTTCTGCTGAATCGGCAAAATCACCTTTGTTTGGGTTGAGTTCTACAATTCTCCATCGAGATTTCAAAATCCAAGGTATTATTGGACAACCCTTCCAAAAAGATAAGTTGGGCTACCAAGCTTTGATGTCTCAGATAGAGACGGGTAAAGATAAAGGCTATTCAGACAAAGAAATTATGACCGCTGTTATTCGGGCTGTGCAACCAGGGATGCAACTTAGAAGTTATCTTGAAAGTGTGAGTGGGTTGACCGTACCTAAATTGCGCAAAATACTAAGGTTCCATTTTCATGAGAAAAATGCGATGGAACTTTATCAAGCACTGAAAAACATGACGCAACAGCCAAATGAAGACCCACAAGCATTTCTTATGCGTGTGCTTACTATTAGACAAGAGATAATTTATGCTTCAAGGAAAGTGACAGTGCTATAAAAGTATGACAGTGCATCTGTGCAAAGCCTATTCCTACACGCTCTTGAGACTGGGTTAAAGGATGAAACTATATGTGCCAAAATACGCCCATTGACCGACAATGCTAATGTGTCAGATGGGCAACTTATCGAAGCTGTGTTTTTGGCTGTTTCTGCAGAGACAGAACGGAGCAACAAATTTAGCCAAATAAGGTACGGGATACGAAAGCTCATGTTTCTGCATTATAAAATGATGAAAGCGTGGGTGAAAAGAGGGACGTTTTAGCTGCAATTAAACAAGTTAGGACTGAGTTATCAGCTATGCAGTCTGAAGTTAAAACACTTCGTGAGACAGTTAGCCAGCAGAATTCTAAAAAAAAACCGAAGGCGAAAGTAGGAATGTGGCACCAACTAGGATATCGAAGTGTGACAAGTGAAAAACATCTGGGAAAGAATGTAATCACTGTTTTCATTGTGGTGGGTTGAACCTCATAGCACGATATTGCCGGTCACGATGAAGAAATCCTTTGGGAAACGGTCGAATGCTACCCCCGCGGGACAGGGAGTAGCCGTTGAACAAAATATGACGTCCCATTGTAGCAATTGCTTGAAAATCTCAACGAACCCACTGCAACAGTGTTCTCGATGCAAGTCAGTTTTGTATTGCTCATTAGAATGCCAACAACAACACTGGTCTAGTCAAAAAACTTATGCAATGCCATCAACAAGATAAATAAAATAGAACAAGAGGCAAGTCGTGTCATGCCAGGTGACAGTCTAGACAAACACTTTTTCCTAGTCACATAGCACCAGCACGTCAGGCTCAGGTCGCTCGGCTTGTTGGCAATAAGTGTTCTGTACGTGGTCGTTTTGATGATGAAGCTATCACTGCATTGTGGGATACAACCAAAGACTTTCACGTTTAGGGCTTATTCCATTGAGCTACTGGCATGAATTTCTAGACACGGTTGTGTTCTACAAACTAATTCATGGACTCATAAGAATTGACGAACATTTCCTGCCTCAACCAACAAGTGCCAACAGCCAAAGGGAAACAAGATCATCCGATCCTAACCATCAGTTTGTCATTCACGAAAACACGATGCAAGACAACCACATTCCAAAAGTCCTATTTAAATAGATGTACCAGAATGTGGAATTTACTGCCAAAGAACTTGACAGGCAATAACACCAGCCTTAGTCAGTTAAAAAATGGACTTTTATGTACTATAAAGTAACGGTCTACGACGTGGATGATCCAAGAACATGGAAAATTGGAAATCAATATGTTTGTCCTGTAACAAGTCCCGTAATCTGTCCTGTGAAGTATCGTGTTGTTATTAGTTTAATATGTTTGTGATGTCGTATCTTATATGTAATGGGTCGCTGTAATTGGCGTAAGCTGTAGCGTGTTCCCTGCCATTGTCCATATATGTATTTTCGGTGTTTTAATGTTTATTGGGTGCGAACGATAAAGTTCATTTGAATGCAAGCAGCTAATGGGTCATCAATTCCCTACAGTGGGTGGGTGGAAATGAAGGTACAGCAAAAAGGCAAAGAATATAGTACAAAACATAATCCGAAGATAAGCATTTTTGAAACCCAAAATATGAGTCAAACAAGAAAGTGAGTGAGTATATAATATTTCGATTTTATTACAAAATCATCATCAGACTAACTATAGTTACATTATATACATGGTCTTATATATAACCAAAACTGACAAAATCATTTTTGACCCCGTTTTTGAAGAAAAATTGGTCGCTACAACTTTTTTGAAACGGACTTTGAAAAAACTAATTCTTGATTCGTGTACTAAAACCGCGTTCGCATTTAATAATCATCTTTTTGAGCAAACTGATGGCGTTTCTATGGGGTCTGCACTGGGGCCTGTGCTATAGCTAACATCATTCTTTCGGAATTTGAAAAACTTATTGTTTCGGATCTAATTTAATCTGGTGTCATAAGGTTTTACCGCAGATACGTTGATGATAGAGAGTGCTTATAAAACGTTCGCATATTCCTGCTGTTCTCAAATTTAATAGTTTTGACAAAAATCTCCAATTTACAGTTGATACCTTTTCGGATAATGTAAATCATTTTTTGGACATTTTGATTTCGTCGGATAACATTGATGTTTACTACAAAAGTACGCACACTGGACAATACACGCATTTTTCTAGTTTTAAACCATTTTCACGTAAATCTTTGTTTCACCGAGCATCAAAATTATGCAGCACCAGTCAAATATTTGAAAACCAAGTTCGGAAGCTCAAAATGTTTATATCTTGGAACGGCTTTCCTCGTGCGATCAGAAATTTATTGATATCCAAACTCAAAAACAAATTTTCTACGGATCGACCTCGCACTAACTTCTTTGACGAAAACGACACCAGGCCTAAGGTTTCGGTACGCGTTCCATACCTTGGTAAACAACGTGAAACTTTAATTAAAAATTGCATAAAGAAAATACAAAGATGCCTAACTGTTCCTGTAAATTTCATAGTTATTTATGACAACAAAAAGTTTTCTTATTTTCCTTCCAACACAACAAAGACAATATTCCGAATCCTTCGGAATCTAATGTAGTTTACGAAGTGACATGTCCTGGCTGTTCCGCAACGTATATTGGGAAAACAGAAAGATGTTTACAGACGCAACTCGCTGAGCATACCAATCCGACCAAAAGTGCTATTGGACAACATTTTCACAACTGCGAACATGTGCAATACATTGTAAACCTACACTTTGCTTTTGACAAACTTAACAACCAAACTGACGCTGACAATAACGTTTCCACTTTTATTTCCAACTTAATAATTGACAACTCTCGAATTCTTCACACTATTTATTCTCGCACATCTAATGTTCTCTTGTTGCTTGAAGCTCTATATATCAAGTACCATTCACCCAGTTTAAAACACTGGACTCAAAGCCAGCAAAGAACTCAAGCTTTTTTCTTAATCTATACTCCCACATTTCATCACACTTACATCTCACTGCACCTGTCGTGGTTCTGATTGAGACTTCCGTTATGTCATCATGCCTTGCCAACTTGTATATAAGACCATGTATACATTGTAACTATAGTTAGTCTGATGATGATTTTGTAGTAAAATCGAAATATTACTCACTCACTTTCTTGTTTGACTTATACTTTGGGTTTCAAGATGCTTATCTTCGGATTATGTTTTGTACTATATTTTTTTAAATTGTCGGCTGGTATTGGTAAAAGGCAAAGACAACTAGGAAATTGTAGTGCCATTCTTAATTACAGACATTAACATTGGACCCCCTATTATTGGGTATAATGTGATCGAGTTAATTGTAAGACAAGAGACCAGCGATGGAAACACTAATCACTTGGCAGACAGTATGATTGCAAGTTTTGGAGGATACAAGAGTGAAAACGTTACAAACTTAATTCGTGTGATTAACCAGAATGACCCAGATGATCTATGTTCAGTTAAGACAAAAAAACAAGATATAGTAATTCCAAAATCACAAACCGTGGATGTGCCTTGTCGGGCAAACACAGGTCCAGTTAACTGTGCAATTCCTGTGCTGTTCGAACCAAATGAATGTCCACAGTTACCCTCTGGGTTGTCTATACAAGAGGAACTAACATCAGTCAGGCAAGGGAACTCTTCTTTGTTGCACATTAAAGTCACCGATGACACAGATCACGATATTACCTTATATGGCAGAACTGTTTTGGGACGCTTATAGTTAGTTCGATCTGTGACGCCGTTAGAAATAAAGTTTAAAGAGACTATGGTAACGAAGTTGGTAACGAATCCCAGAGTGAGTCTCCACAACCAAATCGTAAACAAGAACAGGTCGATCTTACTGATGATGCTCACATAACGCAAGTACTAGCTAGACAACTACTCCGCGAAGAACAATCCTGTTCAAAAGAATTACATCTCTATTCCCCGATCACTGTACCCTGAAGTTAAGGGATATATTGAGGATTTGTTAAACAGAGGTTTCATACGAAAGTCAAAGTCGCCATATTCCAGTAGCGTGGTTTGTGTAAGGAAAATGTTGCGATGGAATTTGAAAATGCCAACGACGAGTCTGTAAATCAATCCGACATGTCATCGAATTGCAATAATTGCCAAAAACACAGAGAAGAATTGGATGAAATAAAACTTAAGCTAGATTCATTATTGTCGCTTTATAGCGTAGTTGGAACTAAGCAAAGCGAACTCGAAATTGAGAGAAATAAATACCAATTAATCGAAGGCCAAGATGGCATAATCCACATGCTTATTAACAAAAACAGGAAATTGGAGAGTGAACTTGATAATATGAAAGTGACCCTAGAGCAGGTGAAGCTTGACAATGAACTAATTCAAAAGACATTTGATATTCTTGTCAACCTTATGGCTTTCTTATCCCAAGTTTAAAGCGTTGAAACATGGGTGGGATAAAGAGTAATTAGAGAGTTTTAGCTTGACGTTTACTGCAAACGTCAAACCGCTAACGAAGTTTTTGATTTTACAAGTCTATTATAACAGCTTTTACACCAGTTTTGAAATATAAACAATTATTAAATTTGTGCT